CCCTTGCCCCGGCCGTATCAAGGAGCACCACCACGCCGTACACTGCAGCAATTCTCCCCTCTGGGCGAGAAAAGAGGACCATCCTGGCTCCCTCTCGCCTCTTCCTTGGATAAAGACGACCTCGACACCTGCAACCACCGGTAACAGGCTATAACAGCCCCCAGTTACACAGCAAGCAAGTCAAGTCAGGATGCACATTCCGTCCCGGCGCATTGGGAGTTCCATCCTGATTCATCTTGCTGCCGCCGGACCTCTTTTGCTCATTCGTTGAGACGTACGCTCGGTTCCCAATTGGGTCTTTTGGGCCATCCGGCCGAGTGGCCGTCCCCCGTCTCTTCATCGGTCCCTCCATGGCGGCATTTTTTATCTCTCAACCTACCGGCCCTTCAACCCAAACACCCGGCCGTCCATCTTCCACGGCCGTGTTATGCCACCGGCCTTCGTCTTTATGCAGATATATGCAACCTCCCAGCGTGGTCCATGAAAGGGTCCATGCCGTGCATAGTAGCAGCTCCAGCATCAATAACTCGACATGCTAGGCTAGGCACCTTGTACTACTCCTGCGGCCTGCCATGCAAGATCCAAGGCCTCTGGAGTTTGCTATCGCTCTCCCCGCAAGACAGGCACAGGTATCGGCCCAGAATGAAATTTCGAGCGACACGGCAGCCAATGCGTTCCCCAGTTTCCATCTTGCGCTGCCGCCGTGTCTTGAGAGAGAGTTCGTCGGGGACGCTCCCCTGTCGCTTGTTACAGGATCAATATCCACCTATTCCACCCATTTTATCTTTTCCCCCCCTTTCATTGAACGCGTCGCCGTTTCCCCTTGTTGCTCGTCACTTGTCACCCATCAGTGACTACCTTGACAGGCTTTGTCGCATTGAAGACGTTCATCATGTTTGGCGAAACGACCCTGGCAATCGGGTCTCTTCATGAGGCAGACAGGCGTGACAGGATCCATCCTTGGCTTTGCCGCCCCCAGTCTATCCTGGCCACTTGTCTCGCTTGCTGAATAGCTACGGAGCGTCTCCTTCTCCCTGCATCAGTATGGATCCAGGTCGTTGTTGTTCTAACTTTTGCGTCAGAACAGACACCATCCATCCATCCATCGCTTCTTTTTTTTGCGCTATGATGATGAGCGAGAGAGTGAGACAATACGGTTATGGCCTGAGCCGTTGGATGCTGACCGACGACCGTTGCAGTGCTGCTGTCAATGTCGCATCTATTCTATCGTCTATTTTGCTGAAATTACTTGGGTTGGATCCGTATCGCTTTTCGTTCTCGCTCTCGCAACCTCCACAGGTTGTTCGATTCCTACACAATCCGCACACACCCGCGTATACATCCTTGCTAAAGACGCTCGGCGCTGGGCGGTGCTGGAACATCCTCTCCTCAGGTCTCACTTATTTTATCACTGCCTTCTGGATCATCAACGTCAACATCAGTCATCAACTTCAGCCTTCGTTGTCGTTATCGTCATGGCGGATCGATCCGCGTTTTCGCTTGACGAGCAATACGAAATATCCGCATCATAGTCCCATAGCCTCATCCACAGTCATATCTCGTTTTTCCTACGAGTACTCCTCCTTCTCTGTACTTTGTACGACTTGCGAGGCAGCAAGATGCCAAGAAGCAGCTAGGAGCCTTTCCGTGCCAAGGCACAATCAAGTCGTAAAGCTTGTCTACGGATACGGAACACAGTCTTGCGGCTTGCCAACGGTTGGCCCCATCTCCGACTGACTTGACCCATTGATGAGGTGGTTCTTCCCGTACCGCGTCCACTTTGCGCGTGGTGTCGTGTCGGCTGTCTGTCGGTCTATCAGTTGCGACTATCGATGCAACCTCGTCCCTGAGAAGCAATGAACGATTGGTCGCGACATGTCATCTTGATTGTCGCCTGGGGGCGGCGCCATCTGCCCTGTTGGCCACTGACCATAAGCAGTTGGCGGGCCTTGGTCTAGGCGTCCAGGAGCTGGGAGAAGGGGAGTTTGCACTTTGCAGCAGGGCACGCTTTCGACGACATGGTCGACACTAAACACCCCCTCCCCAGAGACATATCTCGTCGTCGCCGACAGTCCAGAACCACAGGCTCGCCGCTAATGCAAGGCACATCCAACCAGAGTCCAGTGAGCTCACACCTTTTGATCTTTCCAGAACGACGACTCCCAGGTTCCAACACAGAGGAACCCCAACCGAGAACATGGTCCGGCCTGTTGTCACCTGCGGCCTTGTGGCATTCTTGCAGCTCTGCGGATTTGCTCTCTTGTCGCCTCACCCGCCTGGCCACCCCTCCCTTTCCTTTGGTGTGCCAAGTCGTGATGCCGAACGGAAGACCAAGAGATAGGCTTGCGTCTCTTGGGTTCTTTTCCGCTTCTTGGCTTTCGTGGCCAACACACCACAATCCTATTTTGCCCGAACCGCTACACACCTCCCTCACTCGCTTGTCCCAAATGGATCGCATGCACAGCAGGCGAGTCGACTTGGTCGAGTAGCAGAGGAAAGTGGGCGAACATTGACTTGACAGACACGCTACAGTTCTATCGTGAATCCCTCTGCTGTGCCTCAAAACGACGGCTGTCAAATATCCCGCACTCGCCCCCAGATCGCTTTTTGCCGAGAACAGAATACTGCGACTGGGACTACATTCCACCTGTGACAATCGTCACACGAGTGGCTCCTCCCTGCGTCCTCTCTATTTCATTGTTGATCGTTGGCTTCACGAGGTCCAACCGGGCAGAGGGGCAAAGTGAGCAGGCCTCAACACAAACGGGGACCTTGTGCCGCTAAGCGTGCGTCGGCGACTCATGCACACAATGTCGGGGTGCCATCGTGTCATCCCCATCGCAGTGACCGCCCTGGCTATTCCATCTGATCCAAGGAAGATGACACAAATATTGGAGGAACACATGCAGCTCTGCACGAAATTCCAGAAAGCAGCAACTTGCGCAGACTGGTGTGCGGTCTGACATCATGAGGGGGGAATGCTTCGTCTCCTAGGCAAGTGAGACCAAGAATGAACCGATGCAAGCTGCTCGTGCTAGACGATAGATCAATGTGCGAGCGTGACAAGCCCCCGGGTCGCAGGATGAGCTTGAATGGTCCCATAGGTGTTCACTACTTAGTACTGGAGAGGCGGGCAAGGACACTAGAGAAGAAGCCCAACGGGGAAATCCAAATACCACTGCCCACGGAATCTAACGCCGGCCACGATACCATTGGATGCCGATGTTCGTCTCTGGTCCTAGCTCCGGAGGCGGGTGAGCTAACGGCGCAGCAAGCATTTTGTAGTACTGTACTATGTAGGCGCGGCCGGTGGACGAATGGGAGTTTACCCCTCACTGTCCCATCTTTGCGAATGGCACTTGCTATGGTTCAGTTCAGTTTTGGGAAGATCCGGTGAGAGTCGTGAGGAATCAAGATCGAGACCTAGGCGGTCAGGGTTGTGAGGTGTTCGGAAATCCAGCCCTTTTGACAAGCATCATGAGGGTTTTCGCCTTAGCCCAGGTCGGAAATTCCGACAGCCAGCCAGTTTGCGATCACAGAAGAGGCGATCACAGATGAAGAACATGGAGTGGCAGATGTGTTTGTGACGGATCTGCTGTAGGTCTCTTGACCATTTCTTGTCTCACTCACGTACATTTCTGTTTGGGGTTTAGGAGGGGTTCCTTTTCTCTCTACGACCAACGATAAGAGAGGAATTCAATTCCTTTTCCGAGCCTTTTGCTTGCAGCTTGACTGGCTGGCTCAGGCTGTCCTTGCTGCTGCTGCTGCTGCTGCTGCAGTAGCCAGAGTCAGAATGGGCATGGCAGATGGGCACGACCCCACCCCCACGTGCCGTGTGAAAGTCGTCTCCTCTTTCGTTTGAAGATCTGAGTTGAATGTTGATGAAGCCTGAAGAGCACTAGGCTAAGATGTCTGGTTTGCAAATTGCCGTTGATGGAAAACTTGGAGGGATAAACGCTGGACCGGCTGATACTCGCCGACACCACTTTACTTGCGCACTTTCAAAACATGTGTTCTAGAATATAGATACCATACCTCGCGTTTGTGCCGCGCGCGTGTGCGTGTGCGTGTGCGTGTGCAAGTGCGTGTGTGTGTGTGCGCGCGATACAGCGTCGCATTCTGGAACAAAGCTTGTGAGGGAGATATCACGTCCCCGTCCCTGTCTCTCTTACACCCATGGGCCATGGATCACGAAGGACGAACTTCAGATGGCGTCTTTTGTGCGTCTTTACGGATACGTCGAAGCGTCTTTGCCCTGGAAGGCGACTATCCTATCTCAAATCTGTGTCTGTATCTGTACCGCGGCGTAGGGCCCTCCACCCCTGGTCAAGTTTGATAGAGATAGGCGAACCCTGCGGCTGGTCTGCATGTCGCGATATCGCAGGCATCCTCCGACTCGGGGAGGGAAGATAGAGTTTTTCCCTCCCAAGGTGGTCAGATACGATTTCGTATCATCTCTATCTGAGGCTACTCTTTCATCGCTGCTAGTTTTTTTCGTGCTTGTGATGGATGATTGTGTGGTTGCTTTATCGTGGGCTTTTTTGCGCCTTGCGATATGGGGGAGATGGTACGACGTGGGGAACGCCAGTATGGGAACAGGTTGAAAATCATGGCGAGTCAGACAGACGTCTTGACTCTTGCGGACTGACAATACCCGCACAGGCGGGCAGACTAGTAACTTGTAAAGTTGCTGGATCGTCATCGCTCCGGGTTAACATTAACCACATCACACAGCCAAAGCATCCTATGTATCGATCATTGGAGAGATGGGAAGTGTTCACTAGCTGCTTGAGCCTAAGACGACCTACGAAGGCAGAGTATTCTATCAGGGGGAAGGATGCTTGGCGGCAGGAAACCTCGTGGGCTTCGGTGCGCACCTGTCATCACCTCACTTCGAGTCCTTCGACGCCGGCGGAATTACCGACCGGGGAGAAAATGTTTTGACTTTTTTTTCTTGGTGCGCTGTTGTTCGGCCGGGGAGATTAAGGGCGGAGGAATGGTTACTGCCGAGGGCCGGGCGGGTAACACGGGTATTTCTCGACCATGGTTTCGAGCGGGATCACTTCCGGGCCCGAGCAGAGCGGTGCAGAGTTGCAGACGGAGGCGCCGTTGAGCTTTGATGCGGTCTGTTTCTTCTTGGGAAGTACGAAGTTCGCTGGTAGAGTTTCATGGATGACTTATGGACTTGTGACTTTACGTTCCTTTCGTCATTCCTTATCTTAGGAAATCGTGATGCTGGGGGTTGTGTCGAGGGGAGTTTATCGTCAAGGCTGATGAGGGTCTCGATGTTGAACCTGCGGAGCAAGGTGAGGAGAATCTGTATTTAGCAGATGAATATTAAGCATGATCTTTCTCAAGCTCTCTCCTGTGCCGGGGGCTCTGCCAGGCCCTTGACGGCGAAGAGCCGCAATCTTCATCCGCGAGAGATATTGCAGCTTCCTCTTTAGAGTTCTGAGGAACGACGCCGACGTCTTGCTGATGGCGCGCATGTTGATGCTGCCATTCAGTAGCGTCGAGTCCCCCTTGAACTGAGAGTAGTGAAGAAGGAGGCGGTCTCGGGTAAAAGCAGTTGACTCTTCATGTCATTTATTTCTCACTTTTGGTCCGATAGCCAACTGTGAGCTACCATCTTCAATAGACGTCACAAGAATGTAACACAAGGCTGCTATTGGAAAGATGCCTAAGAGTGAGGCCCTCTCTTGCAGATATCTTCAGTCTCGTCTTCAACCCCGATGGCCACCACTGCCTCTTCCGCGACCTCTCCATGGACCAAGCCGTGTCTTATTGGCAACGGTTTGATCTCCTTGGCAAACTCAGGCCCGTCCATCCATGTAGTCTTCGGCGACAGTGTAATATTTTTTGAGTTTCCTGCCATTGTCGATCCAGACACCAGAATCTCGGGGCTCGATGCTAGGTGAACGAACAAGATACAGCAACAGACGCATGCGAAGAGAAACAATGTAGAGATTACCTAAAGTCCTGTCAACAACTTTGAGAACTCGACTTCCTCTGGCAGAATATTTGTAACCTCTTGGGTTTTTTTGTTAGGTATGAAAGCCTCCTCGAAGTTTCCGCATGGTAGCTGGCTTACACCTGAGTACATCTTCTTAAGCTGCCCGGAACGAGAACCGATCGTATGTAGATCTATAGTCCTGATGAGCATACCTGAACCCGTTCCCATGTGCTCGAAACTCGGGCCACTGAGATATTAGGAGGATAGGTCGAGGATGGCGGTATCGTTTCGGCCTCCCGTAATCCTTCCTTTGTTGAAGGCTGGAGGAAAAGAGAATTGTGTAATCTCTAAATAGATGCAGTAATCTGGCAGTGTCCTTCTTAAACTCCCTTAAACTCCGAATTCTATACGCATGACGAAGAGGAGAAGCTACAATCATGGCCTCCCGCCTTTATAGTTGATCTCGTTCAGCCCAAGCACTGAATTTGGGACGGCGGATTATGTTGCCTTAGCGGGACGGCAGAGAGACATCTTTTAGACCAAGGTGAAAGCCGCTTGGACACGAAGATTCTAGCCTCAACGCTCTTCCAGATCTCAACTTCTTGTAGTCTATGGCATAGCGTCCCAATCCAACTACTTATTTTAGACTTGCCCCTTGAGAATTATCGGTAACCTCTCAGGACTTGGCTGTTGAGTCAACATAAGGCTGTCAAGGCTAGATATCGAACACATGGTATTTGTATGATTGATTGACCAATATACGATCAGTTGACCAAAAGTCTTTTGCTATGGGTTGGAATCACACAAACCACTCAACTCTCAACTCGGCTGTACATCAGGGTAGTAAGTATAGTCAGAAATAGGTCCTCGACGCGACTAGTAAAGAGCTTGTGGTGTACTTCTTCACCGACCCATGATGACCCCTCCTGATGCTTATACACAGTCATAAGTGTATTCATTGATCAATTTTTCTTTGACCACTTCACTCGGCAGGGTCACGCAAATGTTACAAGTTTAAGTCCATCTCAGTGTTGATAAAGTACCAATCCAAAGCTGCAGGACCAGCAACATATTTTATGCGTCCAACGAGCCTCTAGGGCATAAATCTATCCCACACTTACACGGCCTCGTAGTCCAACACCGCAACTTGCCGCCCTCCCACCCTGACACACAATCCCCCTGAATATCAATTTAAATGTGTAGTGTTGAATAGCCGGTTGCCAGTGTCCGTGCCCCCGATTCCAGGGAACTTGTTGTCCGACAACCGAAGTGCGACGAGACTGAGATCTCCTTTGCGAGCAAGTGGCTCTAGGACATCCGAGATGGCCTTGGCCTGAACAACACCGGCCACAATGACGATGCGAATCTCCAGCTTCAGCCTCCGAACACGGTCGACGAACCCCTTGATTGACTTGCCGCTGTTGACCACCGAATCAACCAAGAGCAGCGTGTTCACTCCCACAAGAGTCTCCTTCGTGAGCTCGGAGGCACGGTTGGCGTGGATGAAGATGGCATGGGGGAACACCTCGCTGACACCAAGGGCCATGGGTTCACCACCGCGCATGAGAGCAACGATGGCTGTTCGGCTCTCGTCGACAAGTCGATGACCATCGGTATTGTAGCCCTGAACATGAGGTATAGGATATGTCTCTAGGCCGCGCAGCTCCGTCAGGAACTCGGTGGCGAGGTACCGCCCGACTTGCCCATGGGCCGCTCTGAGACTAGGACCGGCCACAGACGCGTCGCGTGTCGCAGTCATGAGAAGTTTGGCTGCACTCTTGTTCGTGGCGTGCAGAACCTGGAGGTTGGCGTAGCGGTATAGGATAGATTCCACGAAAGTTTGGCCAGAGATGTCGACAATCGGTAAATGCTCTGGATCAAGGCGGGGTGAAGAATGAATCGGGACCAAAGCCTGTCTTGGACGGAAGTTCTTGTCGCCAGTAATAACCCTGGTCAACTCAGCGTCCATAGTCTTGCTTCTAGAACGCTCCTCGCCGACGACGACGATAGCTTGGTCGGCCCTCTTGAGCATGGGCAAGTCCATCGGACTGTCTCCGAAAGCCCAGACAAACACACCTTTACTTTGCAGATGAGAGACAACGACGGCCTTGGCCTCAGGAGTAACAACGTAATCATCGGAAAAGCGGCCCCCACCGATGATCTTAACGTCATCATCGAGGCCCTCTCTCTCCAATATCAGTTTCCAGATTCGACGAAGGCCACACGTGGCGATGACGATGCCAATGCCGCGATGGCACTTGACGGCGTGAATCAGGGCCATGAACTCCGGGTACAGCGAGACAGCAGCGGCGACTTCCTCGCATACTTCGTCAAAGGCGCTTTCGACGTACTCATACAAAGCCATGGCCCGGTGAAAGAAAGCCAAGGAGTAGTCGTTGTTTTCGCTGAATAGCCTCTTCAGGGGACATATGAGGTCGTCCCAGAGCCAATGCTTTCCAAAGTTCTCCGGACCATCCCATACACAGTCAGGGTATCGCCTCCGCGAAGTTGCCTTGAGCCTCTCCCAGAACATCGAGCCCGTGTCCGCTGCGCACAGCGTTCGATCCGCGTCCAACACCAACACCGTATCCAACCGATCGCGGCCTGGGCCCGAAAAAAGCAATCGATCAGTCTCGCTTCTTACACGACGAAGGTTCTCTTCGTCTGTTGTCTCAATATTGCGCAGCATGTGTTCAATGCCGTCAGAAGAATGAGGCCCGCCGAGATACAGCGGCATGAAATGCATGTCATTCAGACGAGAAAGACGTGATAGAGCGGCGATTTCGGAATTCTTCCATTGTGCGAGGTGATGAGGTTGTAGTTCAGGGCGCGTTCGAAGTTCATCGTAAGTTCGTTGATCCCATAGACTGATAGCGGGCATGTCCAGGTAGAGGATGTGGGTGTAGACGCGCAGGTCAGCGTCGGTCCACACAACGTCATGGGAGGGAGGTTTGTCGTTCCAGAATGAGTAATGGCCGGTGACAATTCCAATACGCCCAGTCGCGGTACATTCATCGGCAACACATTGAATGGCTTGCTGTCGTTTTCGGGTCTTCGCGTCGTTGTGAAGTCGCTTGAATGCTTCCAGGCCGCCGTCGACGAGGTTCCCAATGACCTCAGACCCCTCATAGTACTGGAACCGATCTCCAAAACCGAAGTATGTCTTGAGACGGCACAAGACGTAAGACTTACCACTACCAGGAAGGCCGTATAGGCCGACGATGGTAGGCTTCTTGACGGGAGAGGTAGTATTGGAATTGGAGGCAGGCATATTGATAGCGGATGGAGAATGAGTTGTTCAGCTGATCTCAGATGAAGTGGCTATCCTTGGTCGGAATGAGATTCGCTCAACAGAGCAAGACCAAGCGGCTCCAGTTCGGCTTATGTATAAGCTTGGAGCCTTCTCCAGCTTCGTGGTCTGAGAGGAAAAGGCTTCCTTGGGGCAGTCATGAGACAAATGGCGGAAAGGGCGATTGGTTTGTTGCAGGCAGAAGTGATTCCCAATGCTAGAGGCAAGAAGTGTTTGTCCGCATTATGGCAACTTGTTTGCCTACGTAGTGTCTTAGTCTGCCTAGAATCCCAAAGACTTTCTTTCTCACTTGTGATGGTAGATTCTCGGCCGTCATTTGCTTGGTGGTGATACCGGTGTTTGCCTTGAAAAATCCACCACAGCACCTCGGGGTTTTGAAAGCGGCTTTTTGCAAGCTAAGTAATTCCTATGCTCTTGGACGTATAAGTAGCTATGAGAATATGTGATCAATCAGCAATGAGGCGTTTCCGTCTAAGGTATCCCAACCAACGGCAACAAAATCTCGTTTGTGACCGCTAGCCCTCCTTAAAGGCTAGCTGCTGTGGCGAAAGCGACATGCAATGTTTAAGGCAATCTCATATTTCCCTAGATTTATGTATTCCTCCTTTTTTTTCCGGCAAAAGAAAGTTGGTTCCTTGAGGTTGGAATACATAGTAGACAGCAGAACAAGCTGGTGGTTGAGGAGGAGCCCGTCGAACGTGCGCATTGCCCCTGTTAATTGTTCTGAATAGTTGGCTTTATTAGATTTGCCTCCTCAACTATTTCTTGATTTTAGATAAATTTACATTACATTAAATTTCCTTGCATCGAGAGGGGTATCATGCTATCATACAAAGAGTTCTTCCCGTGCCTAAATTACCTATGCAATATCCCGTCCGTCCATTCATCTAAATGTGTTTCGTTCCCTCTGTGTCGAATCCAACGGTCGTGGCCTCATCCTCTTGCCTCAAGGCCGCACCATCATCGCCACGGCTCAGACTCCGCCCCCTTGGTTTCTCGACATCCTCGACATCCCGTTCGCTGCCCTCATCAAGTTGCTTCTCCTTCTCCCTCTGTGCCTCAGCAGCAACGGTAGCCGCCACAACCCCAGAAACCCCGCCAACAGCAGCCGCAGCCTCAGCCGCCTCGGCATCCTCCTTGGCCTTCTGCTTCGCCTGCTGCTCCTTCTTCACGCTCTTCCACTCCATACCACCAGCTCCGATGAACACGGAGCAAACCATGACCAGCGCAACCACGAACACAACCTTCAGCGCTCCGTTGTAAGCCTCCAACACAGGTCCTTTCACATTGTCCGGCAGATCTGTCAGCGATGTCGCGCCGGTAGTTTGCAAGTTGATTCCCTCGAGCCCAGGCAGCCCCTTGATCCTCTTCACAAGTTCGTTGTTCAGCACCGTCTGCCCAACCGAGATAAACACGGCGCCACCGAGCGTCTGCGAGAAGAACATGATACTCGCGCCCACAGGCACGTCTTTCAGCTTAAGCACCGTCTGTGCAGCAAGATTCGGCGCCTGGAACGTCATGCCCTGCCCGATACCGTAGATGACCTGGTACGCCGCCCACTTTGCCGTGCTCGTATCCACCTCAAGCGTCGTCATCAAGCCCGCGCCGACAGACATGATGCAGATACCGACGAGCATCACGGGCGTGTAGTACCCAATCTTAGTGATGACGCCTCCTGATACGGCTGCGAAGACGGTCATGGAGAGAACCATGGGGAGGGTGCGGACGCCGGACTCGACGGCTGTAAAGCCCTTGATGGCCTGGAGCCAGATGGGGAGGTAATACGCCATCAACATCATCTGTCCGCCGAGAGAGAAGGCAGCCCAGGCGGCGAAGGCGATGGAGCGTTGACGGATAATGCGAGGTGGGACGGTCGCAGTATTGGGGAGGAGGATCTGGATGGCGATGAAGGATAGGAGGAGGACGACGGCGAGGACCAGGAGGGCAATGATTCGCCCGTTGCTCCACTGCGATTTATTAGTGAATATTTCTACTTGTAGGGCAATGGGCAATAAGGTGGAAGATAGGAGTGAGAAGAAGGGAAAATCGTGGTACTCACAGCATACTCAACACCACCCCACTGCAACGCAAGAAGCAAGCAAACAACGCCAGGAATAAACACCGACGTTCCCGCAAAGTCCAACTGCTTCAACTTATCCCACAACGAAGACTCGGTAAGATTCTGCTCCGGCGGCCTCATCACAAACGCAATCACCACCAGCGCGACGCCCCCCAGTGGCAGGTTGATATAAAAGCACCACCGCCAGGTGACCTTTGTCGTGAACGCGCCGCCAAGTAGTGGCCCGATGACGGACGCAATACCAAACACGGCCCCGAAGGCGCCCTGATACTTGGGGCGACGGTGCAGCGGGACGGAATGGACCATGACGACGATGGTGCCCGCAAAGATACCCGCGCCGCCGATGCCTGCGATGGCGCGGCCGACGATGAAGGCGGCGCTATCGGGAGCCGCGCCGCAAACGGCGGAGCCGACCTCGAAGAGGACGACGGAGCAGAGAAAGACGCGCTTAATGGGAAAGAAGGCGTAGAGCTTGCCGAAGAGGAGCTGGAAGGCGCAGGTTGTCAGGAGGTAAGCGCTTCCGTACCAACCTATGTCGGTGACGGAGTGAAAGTCGTCTGTGATTTGGGGGATTGCTGTGGCGATGATGAGGCGATCCTGTTAGTGGTGTTAGTCTCGTGGGAAAGGGGATAAAGAGGATTCTGAGGGAGGTAATACCAATGCAACGAGGAACATGGACACCAAGATGGACAACATGATTAGGAAGAGCTTCACGCCCTTTGGGTACTGAATCGATCGCGTCGTCGAGGTGTGCGTGAGAGCATGCTCGGCGGGTTGCTGTTCTTCTTCATCGTGGATTTTACTCGTCCGTGATGAGGTCGGCGGTTCGCTCGTTGGCGTCGTGGCGGGAACTGCGCCCTTGTCGCGCTTTTTGAAGAACATGGCAATAGGTTCGATCTGTTGTTCGTTCGTAGTCGTCCAGCCCAGGAAACCCAAAGCCTATAAGCTTTCGATCTTCTCTTTTTGTCTCCCAAAGTTGACGGTCTCGGCTCGTAGTCGACACTCTTGATACAAGTTCAACTCAATGTCTCTCATTCAGAACTCTGTAGATCTCGAAAACCTTCTTGACATGAACCAGAGGGGTAGTCGAGGGATGCGTAAGGAAGTCGGCGACGATGGAGAGATAAGTAGGCAAGCAACACGTTCGAAGAGAAAAGAGTCATCCCAAGTACATATATCGCATTTCCCCTAAACAAGACAAAACAAGCCTATTCGAAACAAACAAAACGAATTACCCCCCGAAAAAGGACGTAAGAAACGTCCGGTCACGACGAAGAGACGACCTAACGCATGTCCGCATGACGAGGACGACTCACATCCAACACCCGTTCGGGGATTTCTATTCTCCTTTCTTTCTTACCTCCTTACTCCCGCCAATGACAGCAAAGCACCAGACCAAAGAACCACCCTAAAAGAGCCTCCAATCTTGGCTCCCGCCCGCCCGCTCGTGTCTAGCCACGCGACCTAGACCCCAAAGACCCAAAGAACTTGAATGAGTCTAGGTCGGTCTGACTCTGAGCCAGGCTTCATTCCGAAATGTTTCCTGGAATGTGCCTGATTATGATGGCCTTCTTCGCGGCTCATGCTTACGTACCCACAATGACTTATCCACAAGTTCACCAAAGTCCATCCAACAAGAGAAATGCCGGGCGATTCTCGGATCTCAGTATTTCTCAATCGTGAGGGAAACCATACCCGCTTGTAGACGGATGTAAGCCAAGCGTATACGTGGGTAAGCAATCGGCATTTTCAATGCCGATTCACATACCTCAGTCTTCACTGGCGCAGTAAGTCAAGCCTCACCGTAACGCTTAAAACCAGCAGACTGTCCAATTAGTTAAACGCCACGCGCAGCTGCAATTGGAAACGAAGAAAACAGAAGAGTGCGAAAAGGAGTGACACGCATGAAAAGGGAGTCGTCAACTCATCACTCCATACCGGCTCATCAGGCCAGACGGGGCCGAGCGGGCTTTGGTAAGCTCCAGGTGAGAGTCGTTAGCCCGGAACTTGGTATTGTGACTCTTGTGTGGCTCATCAGAACAAATAGAACCACGCAGGCGGACGGGCATTGAATCCGGTTCAAAACTAAACCATTCAAAGAACCCCCCAGCCACAATAAAAACCTCGGGGATTTCTACACCAAAATGGGTAAAGTCCCAACCCAACCTCGGTCCCGAAGACAAGGGGTCGGCTCACGGGTCCATCGTTCCCCGATGTGCCCGAGCCTCCGGTCGTTTGGTGCTCTTCACACACACGTTTCTACCAGACGGAATGAGGGGGAGTCGGGGTGAGTATTCCGCTCCGCTCCGTCTGCGGCCCAAAATACACAGCCCTCAGCCCTGAGTCCGCACTTGTCCTGTCCGTCTCCCGTTCCTTGATTTTCTTGGGATGTTTCTATTGACTTCCCCGATGTTACCCGCCTAAAAAAAGACAAATTATGACTCTTATGCTTCTTCTCGCACGGGCTCCTTTCCCGGGCCCGAACGAATCGGAGTCCTCCGCCTCGGGGGTTTACGTTTGAATAAGGCAGTTGGTTCACCAAAGATTCGTGTAAACTCGGGAACCAGAAGCCCGTCGTTGAGGTCATACGGACATGGCCGTCATTGATATATGCCCATTTGCGGGTAACTCCCTCTTCCCCATCCGGGCAACATTGCAGTTTTGTTTTTTGGAAGGAAAGTGTTAGTTAGGTAAGACGGGCATTCGGTAGATTCAGTATGTCCAGCGGCAGTTTACGGATCAATGCCTCTGTCTTCCCATGAACGGTGATCATGTACACCCTGGCCTATAGTAGAATCGTCTCGCAAATCGCAACTGGGCCGGGGGGACTTGGAAGATCATTCGCCGGGGGGTTGCGACCAGGGAGTCATTAGACTGACAAGTCGTTCCATCTGCCTGCCCGCGTCGTCAGCCCATAGGTGAATGCATATGCAAGTCTCGTATCCTGAGTGGCAGACAGGTAAGGCAGACAGGCACCAACAAGACTCAAGTGACGTTGTATGATGTACGGATAGACCCGTCAACACTGGAAACTGTGTCATCTCGGAAGAAGTCTCCGCAACTTCGCCGATGAAGACAAGACCACCACTGCCAATCTTGCCCCTTTTCCGGTGAGGAGGGAGCCACAAGGTCCCAAAGGCGACAAGCTCCATTCAGCTCGACAGGGGGCTCATAGTCAATCATCATGTCAAAACGGCTTCTGCCAGGGGAAGGGGGTGTACGCTTGGTCTTTCCATAGACTCCCGTCTATTTACCATTAGGTAGCTTCGTCATCTCATGGTACTATCGTTACAGAGGTGGGAGAGTTGTCTCTTTGTAAAATCCTAAACACCAAAAGACAAATCCAAATCCAAAGAATGCCCTCCGAGTGAATGACCCCTGGTCTCCTTTCTACTTCAACGAGAGATTGATTTGCAGATGCCCCGGGTCCCAACTCACTCCCTTTCTTTCCCATTTTCTACCCAGGCACCGGAGCTAGCACGACGTGAGAAATCCCAAATGATGCCTGCCACATGTTCACCATCCTCTATTCGTTGGTGGCACGCCAAAATTCCCAAATTGTCCAAACATGTTTGACGAAGACTGCTGGTTCATGTTACCGTTGGGGACACCCAAATCCGCCCACATGTCCAAATCGTAAAAGTTTGTAGTGTCGAGGAAATTGCCGAGGAATTGGTCCATGGGTTGATCGTTCCGCGGAGGGATCTCCATCTTCATCGTCTGTGCCGGCGAAGGCCCGCAAGACGACGCTTCTGAGCTCGTCTGCGGCACGGTATCCTGCAGTCGTGGGATGGCAACCGGTGTATCGTAGGGCAGGCCAAGTTGGACCAGCGCGCGCTCGCGTGCCCTCCAGGCCTTGAGCATGTACACACCCAGCTGGGTATTCTCCTTCTTGGACATGTCCCATAGCTCCTCGTGGTACTGATATATCCTGTCAACCACCTTCCACGCGCGGTCAGCCAATTTGCCTGTCGGTCTCTTGTATAGTTGTCCAGCCATGACGATGAAGACGTCGATTTGGAAGTGGAGCTTGAAGAACCACACAAAGCCGGTGTTCTCCATAAAGTCGTACAGCTCGACGTTGTGCTCGTGGTGCATGAGTGATATCCGGAACATGTTGTCCTGAACGTTGAAGATCTCGGTGCCGAATTCAGGCAGTTCGCGCATGGGGATCATCATCGCCCGCATCTTGTCAGTAACCATGGATCGGATCTTGGTCGCTACGATGTGGATGTTGCCAGCCAGGGGATCACAGTATCGCTTTTCGAGGGCTACGAGCTTCGCATCGAGGTTGTCAACCAGTGCCCGGTACTTGGCAAGCGAAGTCTGGGTCGCTATTTGAGAATCCTGGCTGTCATTTTCCATGGCGCCGAGAACGACGGCCTCGAAATCGGGGATGCGGTTTTCGACGATGAATCGACCAACTTCGTACAAGAGCAGGCAGAAGGCCATCTCTGTCGGGCCTTCACGAGGTTGAACGGGCTCGGTCGATCCGGGGAAGAGATCGGCATCGTTTACGTTCTGCGGCGTATTCGTGTCCCAGTTCCATGGCAGTAGCGTGTCGCAGAATCCCGATACCATGGCATATTTCGTGTCCAACATAATGATCTGCCACCAAAGTCGTCGTCGCATTTCGGTCTCGTATGGAGTGAGGTTGAGCAGCTCTCCGTCCCTGTGAAGTCCCATCTTTTGCGCAATACGAATCAACACACCACTGAGCACCCAGGCCGCATGACGGTTATATCGCCCCTGAAGAGATACCTGTTTGCTGTTAGTAAGACGAATTGACTATTATGGCGGAAAAGATCGCGACGGACCAGGTAGAGTATCAAAGCTTGCAGCGTCATCAAATCATGGTTCTTAAGGAAATTGACCTTGGTCAATGCCGCCTTGACGCCAGCAGTGAACTTCTTGAGCGCCTCCTCTTTTGACATATCCAGCATCTGTCTGGCTTCTGACTCAGTCATGGTAAGAGATGCGACGAGGTAGATGGCAAATAGCAGAGCCTGGGCATTGTTCGCGACATTGGAGTGGTTCGCGGCCGCTTCCACGACCAAGGGTTGCAGACTGGGTACGTGAATGAGTTTGGTGATTGGGTTGACCCTTTCCAAAAACACCTGCCAAAGTCTGAATATCTGAACGGGGGATGGAGTAACGTCCTCCAAGTCGATCGCGGCGATGTCGTTTAGAAGTAGATCTACGTTGTCGTCGGGGGTTACGGCGTCGGATCCTAGAACACTCTGTTCCTCTTCCTCGGCTTCGATGATTTGTCGCATTGCGGTCAACTACGAAGAGGTCAGACCTAGCCGGCACAGGCAGGGAGCGCGCGATGCGTAAAAGGGAGGCACATCGGACTACGAGCTTCGCGGTTACGCACCTGGTCATGCACTGTTGCCCACACATAACTGTCCATGAAGCGGACGCTGCCGTCTTCAACTACGACTTTGCCCGCCGGCTTCCAGGATGTCGTGGGTGGAGAAGTGTCCTCGGATACTGAAGCGGACCCCGAGGGCAGTGGCAGCTGTGGCATACTCGGCGATGGCCCAGCCGAAGAAGGCGTAGCAAATGTGGTGGGCGAAAGAGTCGCCCCCGTCCCCGGAGGCGTCGTATCGCTACCTGTCGTGGCATACTGTTTGAGTAGAGCCTCGCATCTAGCGAGTCTTTCTTGTAAGTCCTGGTTCGGCCTCCTGCGCTTGCGTGCGGGAGCTGGTGTTGAAGGTGTACATGTGACGTTGGCCTAATACGAGTCAGAACGTATTCGGGATTCTGTATCTGGACAAACGAAGGCAGCGCACCTTTATACAGTTAGAGCAGGGGGTGTTGCGGTCGCATTTGATCTTGCGATGTTGGCAGAGAACACAGGCTAGAACCCTCTGGCTCTT